TATACTTACTTATCATGCAAGGGATATGAAACTAATTATGCTATTCCTGGACAACTCTACTTTCGTACCAATAAGGCAGGAGGATTGCTTGAGCCCAGGAGTTTGAGGTTGCTGGGAGCTAGGCTGACGCCACGGCACTCACTCTAGCCTGGTCAACAAAGCGAGACTCTGTCTCAAAAAAAAAAAACAAAAAAACGGTGAACATATTGGGGAGGCAAGACCTTTCAGATATAATACTTGTGAATATTAAATGCCACTGTACATTTTAATAAGAATAATACAACTTTAGAGCAAGAAGGGAACTTGGAGATAATCTTTTAGTGGCAACTCCATTTTCACAACAGATTAAATTGAGGCTCAAGACCTAAATAACTTGCCTAATGTTATACATAAAACTAGTGGAAGATTAAATATTAGAACTCAGATTTTCTAGGCAGCAAGATCTAAAGCTGTGCTGCCCAATACTGTAGCTACTAGCCACATCTGGCTATAAATTTAAGTTGATTAAAAACAATTTTAAATTTAGTTTATCAGACACACTAGGCATATTTCAAGTACTCCATGGCCACATATGGTTAATAACTATCATATCCAACAGTGCAGAAAAACAATATTTCTATCATATTTGTCAATTATACCTCAATAAAGCTGGAGGAAAAAAATATTTCCATCACTGCAGAAAGTTTAAGTGAATAGCACTGATCTAAAGAATACACTCTGAAGTCAGACCTGATTCAAATTCCACTTACTAAGACTCTAACCCCGAACAAGTTATTTAATTTCCCTTAGCTTCTTTTTTTTAAGGGGTGAGGGAATTAATAATACTTACCTAACAAAGTGTACTTAATGAGTGGTATAACACAAAAAGCCCCTTATACACTGACTCTTAACAGACAATAAATACTAATACTCTTCCCTTCCCAATCCTTTTTTCCTTTATTCTATATAATCTCCTTATTAAGATACATACACAATAACCCACACAACTTGGTATCTTCCCCTCAAAAAAGTCTACACTATGTAATTTTCATTCTGTTCTTACAAATTTCTTCAAATACTTACACCTCACTTTCAGTGTTTCTACTTAGAAATAATGAAATTAAGAATGAATGTGAAGGGAAATGCCTCTAATGAAATAAAAGAGAGTGCAATAAATTTCCCTTCCTCTTTTTCCCCATTCCATTTTATATTTGATTATACTTACTTATCATGCAAGGGATATGAAACTAATTATGCTATTCCTGGACAACTCTACTTTCGTACCAATAAGGAAGGTTCTACAATACTTCTACATTATATTCCTTCTCACCATCTATATTACTGATTGAATATTAAATGAAGAAGTAACAACACCTTTCTCCTACAGAACTTACCTGGCAAAGAATAAAAAGGATTTCCAAAATGCTTAACCTTCAAGGCTTCACAGCTAATTCTAGTAAATTGCCAAATTCAACAAATCTGGACTATAGCATATAAAAAACTTCAAAACGTGCAATAATTCAGAAAAACAACAAAATTCAATTCAATTTATAATTAGTGAATTTCTACCAACAATTAAATTTTATTTAGGAGCAACAATTTATATTTAACCACAACAAATGACACAGACTTGCCATTTTCAGTGAATTCATCAATTTTGCAATCCCAATAACTAACATAAAGAATTCAGGGAGAACTTTTAACCCTTTGCCCTCAGATGTCGAGTGTGACTCGACATGGTTAGCATTGGTAGCAGCTCGTATGTTGAGCCAGACTCGGTAGTTGGGTGGGGGGATTTTTGTCTATTTTTCCAGTATCTTTTCTTGTTTTCATTAGCATGAAAGGACAAGTAAAATGTAAATGCAGAGATGGTACACTAACTTCCAGGGGTAGATTATTATTCACTAACTTAGAGAAACGTTTAGATGGAAAGCTCCATACAATCACACCTCACCCTAACAAAAAACACAAAGATTGTGCTGTTTGTTCTAACAGAAAAATCAAAGAAGGAAGAAGAGAGATGATTTATATTTGCAAAACATGTGAATGTAAACCAGGTCTTCATGTGGGTGAATGTTTCAAAAAATATCACACCATGAAAAATTATAGAGATTAAAATTACTCTTTGAATGTATCAATAATTTGAAATACGAAAAAATCCAAATAAGTTTGTATGAAAAGAAACTCCAGTTTTTTATTCTACTGCCACGCTTTGTAAAATCTGGGGTATTTAAAAAATTAAATCTCGAGTAGAATAAAGGAATCGAGAAAAAAAGCAAGCGAGTGCAAAGGGTTAAATGTTTGCCTTTAAACATCCACCAAACAAGTTAAGATTTCGACATATTTTTAAAAAGCTTTCTTGTTTAAAAGTGACCACATTAACTCCCAGAGGGAGAAAAAAGTACTCTCAAGAACAGTGCCTCCTTGAAATTCTGGTAGTTTCTTACTTTGTTCCTTAAAAGATAATTTACTCAAAAACATGACCACTGACTCCTCTTTTAGTGTTTATCATAAGTCACAAATTACAGATAACAATGCACACTGTCACTTTACACAACACAAATTATGTTTAAATAGACAAAACTGGGCCAGGCTCCGTGGCTCACACATGTAATTCTATCACTTTCAGAGGCCAAGGAAGGAGAATTGCTTGAGGCCAGTAGTTCCAGACCAACCTGAGCAACACAGTGAGATCCGTCTCTACAAAAAATTTTTTAAAAATTAACCAACATGGTGGCGCACAGCTGTAGTTCTAGCTGCTCAGGAGGCTGAGACAGGATTGCTTGAGCCCAGGGGTTCGAGGCTGCAGTGAGTTCTCACCACTGCACTCCACCCTGAACAACAGAGCAAGACTCTGTCTCAAAAAAAAAAAAAAAAAGACAAAACTAAAATATTTTAATATATAAATCACACAGTTTAATAACTGTTGGCCGGGCACGGTGGCTCACGCCTGTAATCGTAGCTCTCTGGGAGGCCAAAGCAGGCGGATTGCTTGAGGTCAGGAGTACGAAACCAGCCTGAGCAAGAGTAAGACCCCATCTCTACTATAAATAGAAAGAAATTAATTGACCAACTAATAAATAGAGAGAAAACTAGCCGGGCATGGTGGCGCATGCCTGAAGTCCCAGCTACTCGGGAGGCTGAGGCAGGAGGATTGCTTGAGCCCAGGAGTTTGAGGTTGCTGTGAGCTAGGCTGACGCCACGGCACTCACTCTAGCCTGGTCAACAAAGCGAGACTCTGTCTCAAAAAAAAAAGGAAAAAAAAAAATAATAACTGTTGACGGGTGTCATGAAGTTAAAAAAACTGAAAAAGTTTTGATTACAATCCCACATAAATTTATTAATATCCTGATACATTAAAAAAAGGTTAGGCACCTATGCCCAAACTGATAAAATCTAATTTGTGAGATTCTACCATTTTTTTAAAAGTCCTTCAATAATAATGAAGTGTACATTGGTCACAGTAGAATAGTTCAAACGAATTTTCCTGAGGCTGCATTCTAAGTACATCCAACCCAGAAAGTATTTTTAGCCAGTGTGTTTAATCAATGCTGGTGTTATGCCTAGCCTAAATTAGAAATTGGGTGTTATAAATTTAAAGTAACAATATTACTAGGGACATTTTAAAAGACATTCAATTAAAACATAAGAACAAAACACAAGTTTGACACAATTCAACACCCACAGCCCAGAAGCTTAGATATTAGAAAACAGGCAATAAGAAAATCATATCCTCATCCAAAACTAATTTTGAGGAACCTGTGATTTTTCTAACTTAATAAACCTTAACCTACTCAATATTAATAAAAAATACAAAATAGTGATGCCTCCTTGTGTTTTAAAAATTTGTCAAATGTTTAAAACAGGTTAGCTAAATCACAAACATTCTCTTGTACAAAAAAGACCATGTTTCTCATAAATCACTCAAGATCGTGATATGGGAAGATGCATGTTTCAATGCAAAATGTAACAAAGTTAATGTGTACCATTAAAAAATGTGAAGAGACATAAAAATAGTTTTTGTGGTAATTGGAGCATAAATTTATTCTGAAAAAAATGGTGGTGTCCACAAAATGATCACACTCTTTTATTATGAGTTAGTAAAAAGGTTCTACACAATCCACAAACTTTTGCTTACAAAGAAGTTTTCTTTTTCTTTAAAAGAAAGTTAAATTTCTATTTATCAAATTCAAGATTTAACAGATATTTCTAGCTCTATTTCATTAAGCACACTTCGGGCTCTGAACAATCTTAAGGTCATCCTCTCCCCCGTTAAAAATGAAAAATGATTTTTTTCTCAGTTCAGAAAACCAAGATTTAAAAATGCCCTGGCGTTGGTGTTCCCCCGTCTCCTCTCTACTCAAATCGTCTCTTTCAAGTCGGATACATTGGCTTTTTGTTTATCTTTTTCCATAAACATGTTTTCTATGTGGCCAATCAGCTGTGCTGTTTCAACTGGGCCCAAGATCTGGTCACGTAAACTTAACATCACTTAAATCTCTTATTCGAAAAGTAGATGGTATATTGCAGATATATGACAGGTTCTCCTAGAACAAGCGCTTTGAAAAACCCTACAAATCGTACTGATGTCACTACATGATGCAAGCCCAGACAAATCTCCCATCCTAAGTTCTGCAGAAACACCCTATGCAACTGTAAACTGTTCCATTTTAAGGAAACTCTGGGAAATGCATCGGTAAGTCTATTTAGCTACATCTCAACTTTTTTTTTGGGGGGGGTGAGGGGGGCAACTACAGATTCCCAAATACAAGTATATACTGGTAGAATCCTAAGAGGCTTAAAACTTCAATGGGGGCAGGGGATACTTGGCCCAAGCACCCATGCAGCAGGCAAGAAGCGCTGAACCAATTTTTAAAAGGAAAAAAGGAGGAAAAAAAAAAAAAAAGGAATTCTACCAGCAATGGAAAACTCAGAAGATTCTAAAGCCTTGCCTAGAGTTTAGGTACCGTGAAACATTCTATCTCCGCATCTATTCCATCCCTTATTCCTTCGTTCAACCAACTACAGATTCCAACTATAACCCCCGGGAGCTCCGAGAGCAGAGGTCCCAGGAAGAAAGGGGAAAAAGCGTCCTTTCCCCTCTTTTTATATCAACCTCGTACCTCCGGCTTGCCCTACCTGGCTCACCTCCCACCAGCCACACACGCAGGTAAGAGCCTCGCGTACAGCGTGCAGGGCCGAGAGGCCGGCGGGGACCCGAGAGTCTCTTACCTTCGTATCACAGCCGCGTCCTCTCGGCTGGAGAAAAAAAGCCTCGAGGCCCGGGCGCGCCAGGGAAAGCGCGTCCGCCGTGCCGCTCCGGGGGGCTCCCTCAGCGCCCCCAGAGCAGCAGCCGCCGCAGCGGCCGCGCCACGACCGCGAGCCGCCAGCACCACCTCATGCTGCGGGGCTGCCGCGGGCCGGAGCCGCCGGGGAGGTGGCAGGGAGGCGGGCGGCCGGCGCCCTCTCCCACCTCCCTGCGGAGATGAGATAATCCACACCCCCCAAAATGCCGTGGGGGAGGGGGCTACGGGTGGGGGCGCCTGACCCCAAACCTCCGACCCTTCGGCCAAAGCCAAGTCTCGTCCCTGCCCGTCTCAGGCCTAATTTCAGCCCCTGGGGACCCAGGAGTCCTAAGAGAACAATGTGGGGGGCCACGAGGAGCAGAAGAGCGCGCAGCGCGGCGTGAGCGGGTGGGTAATCCTGGGCAGCGTTTGTGTGTGAGAGTGCAAGAGGCGCTCAGCCGCCCCCCTCCTTTCCCTCCTCCTCTGTCTCCTCCTCCTGCCTCAAGCACACCCCGTCTCCCAGGCCGCAGCATAGCAACCGAACATGGCGGCTGCGCAGGCGCCGCCAGTCAGCGGCCAGAATCGGCCGCGGCAGCAACTGGAGACGATCTCGCGAGAGGCAAGGCCAAACCCCTTCCCCGCTAGCGCAGGGAGAAGTTGCACCAGCCCGAGCGCGGAGGGACGCGCAGGTGCGAGAGAGAAGGACTCGGGCAGTGGGAGGCCGGGCGGGAAGGAGGCGGTGGAACCTGTGGCCCCGCCCCACAGCCGCGCCGCTACTGGTTGCTTGGACTGTGACACCCTGCTGTACCTACTGACTTAAGGGACTGGACAGAGGGCCGAGAAACCCAAGTGTTAACCAGGCCTCCTGGCCCCGGGTCGTCCCACATTCAGTGCTAATAGAGGATATAGGTTTTGTGCTTTGAATCATTTCCTCTCCTAAACGTAGGCTCCAAAACAAAGCCTAAACAAACAACGTTCATTTGTAAAACGTTTGGGTTACTTCTGTGTGCCCGGAACGATGAGCTTTTTAAAATTGAATTAAGTCATTCAAATAACAAATAGGAATTTGGTGTTGTCAACGCCAGGGTTTTTTGCCAGATGTCTTCTTTTATTTTATTGGCGATACAAACTAGTTGGTAAGAGCACAGATGCCTATGGGCTGGATGATCTCAGCCAAAATGGGGGAAGGAGGGATTTGGGGACCGTCACACTTCCTTTTTGCCTCATTTTTGTCAGTGCTGTTTTCTGTTGCCAGGCGCCTTCGTGCTCTTCTTTAGTCTTAGCGTCAGCACCCTACCAAAGCCGGCCTTTATAAAAACGTTCTTTCCAAAATCACTTTCCCTCTAAGCCTACAAAATGATTTTTTACCAATCAGGGAAATGTGTACAACTCTGTGAAAGATAGAAATTTATATCGACTCTCTTCTGCCTCTCAGCCTGCCCCTAGTTTCTCCATTTGAAAAAGACGACTTGTCAATCCATATTTTTCCTGCTTTACTTTCTTCACTTACTTTTCTTCCCAGATCTGTTGTAGCCAGTGCTCATTCGTCCTTCCCTAAATATGCCATCGTGTCTCCAACTCTCCATTTCTGTGCCTTTGTTCATGCTATTGCCTCTACTAAAATGTTCTTCACCTCATCTTCATGTATCAATATCCAGTCAACCTCCCACCAAATATCAAATGGACTTCCACTAGAAGTAAGAGGTAATTTATTCCTTCTTTGGCGTGGAGAGCTCTAGGTTCGACCTCCCTTTGGTTCTTATCACAGTGTACATTCTATTATACAATACTAAGCCCTGGGTGGGTCTTACCACTATTTTGTGGTTTTACCACCATAACTGGAGGACAAGGACCTCCTCTTAGTCGTCTTTGAATCCCCTATAATGCCTGGTGACACTGCCTGGTGAAAAAAAAATTGTTGAGAGAATGAAATGTTTGAATCTCTAATGGATAGCATCTCGGCACGGTACTTAAAACAGAGCAGACTCTTCCTCAGCTTCCAAATCTTGTAATTTGCTGTGTGTCTGGGTGATACTATTCTGGTCTAGAATTGTCCTAGTTGATGCCCCATAAAGCCTTGTAACTAGTCCCCAACTAATCTTCCTATCTTCAGACCCTCCCACCCCACCCCATTCCTTCCTTCCACCTCCATCCATAAACCACAGTGACCTTTACAAATATAAATCTGACTTGTAACATAAATATAACTAGAGTCTCAACATTGGTGAGGGCTGGAAGGAAACACCTTTGCTTTGAGAAACTCTGAAGGATGAACCCTTTAGATAAACAAATGTACTCTGATAGCAGCTCATCTGGGACAGAGACAGACCTGCATGGGAGCCTAAGGATTTAGACCCTGCTCCCTTCACCCCTTCCCCTGACTTGAGAGTCCCTTGCCCTCACCCCTGGGATGGAGAGGCACTGTGTATCTCCCTCCAAACTTGACGTCATCCTGCAAGATGGCAAGAACCAAGCAAGCTCGATCCTGGGGTGTGGGAATGGGGGCTGTTCCTGATCTGACCTCCTTGGCAGTGGAGCATTTGGGGCTTTGTTCATCCATATCAGGGGCCAAGGTACCTTTACAGGAGCACCTAGGGCGAGGGCCTCTGGCAAAAACAAAACAACCAACACACCTCTCCACATGGCCAGCTCCTTAGGGATAGGTGGAAGACAGAAATTGCAATTCCAAGAGGGAGTGTGCCCAAATGGTTTATGGGGATATCTGGAAGGGAGTTTGGGGTGGGGAGCTGTCTATGACACTTAAGCAGTCTGTCTTCAGTCTTGAAGCAGGGCTTCCCAATGCCCTTTTCCTCTCTGCAACCCCTCCCCCATTATTTCTCCCAGGCCAGCATAATTTTGTTTTTCCTAATTTATTAGGCTGCTGATCAGTAAGCTTTACCTAGCACCTGAGCACCTTTCTCCCCTGCCCCCCATTCCTTCCCCCTTTTCTAGATTTAAGACAGAAGGTCAATGTGACTGGGACTGAACCAAGGTCTTGGTAAAGCCTGCACAGGCACCATAAGAAGCTGAAAATATTGTTTGTTCCCGCAATCACTGATTTGAAAAGTTCTCAGCACAGGCAGCTGCCGTGTGTATGGGATTAGAGCCACTACATAGAATAGTCTCTTACAGATTTTCATAAATACTAGTCACAATGAGGGTATTTCTCTTGAGGGTGGGGTACAGGGGGGAGACTGATGCTAGTCCTTATTTTGTTTGTCCTTATTCCTTCTTACCCCAGCCTGTAGTTGCCCTCCTCACTTCAACCCCAGGGATTTGTGGGGAGCAAGGGTAGCCAATGGCAGAAGGGGACTGGAGCTGGGACTCTGGAGACTGCTCCCCTTCTCTCCTCCCCATCTCCCACAGCTGTTCTTTGTCACTGGCTCTGATGGGTGTTTGCCTGGCTGTGTTGCTTCTCTATCTGTATTGAGCTGCAGTGATCGTTTAGCTGGTTGGCTCAGAAAAAAGTGCTGTAGGGGCCCTGATACTGGGCATCAAGGGAATCCATCCTTCCCCTCTTTGATGTGTTCTCCCCGTACTTCCAGATTCTTGTTATGGCTCCCAGTGGGGTTTTGGTGATTCATGTGACGTGGTGCCTCAGTCTGTATCCAGCCACGAGTAAGGGAGAGGAGAATGTGTACCTGCACTGCCTGCTGCTGCATAGGTCCCTGCCTTGTGAATCATGGGACTGCTCGGGAACTGTGGGGCAAGAGTGGCTGGGCACAAAGGAGAATGTCCTACTTGGCAGGGCAGGAAGCAAAAGATACTGGACAGGGAGTGGTGAGCTTGGATATCTGAAGGCTGAGTCTCTTCATGTGGGGACTCAAAAAGGGACCCCGCTTCCAATTTCCCTCTACCATTCCTGGAGCTAGTCCAGGGCTTAGAAGAATGCCCTTGGTCTGTGGGTCCGGTGTTGTCTGTCATTCATTTAAGTGTTCCCACTTTCAAGTGACAATCCTCTCCTTGGCCCTCCGATGGGGCAGAGCATGTCTGGCATAGCGGCCAGACTTTTAGGCCCTAATCTTGAGTTGAGGAAATATATGCACAGGAGTCAAAAAACAAACAAACAAACAAAAAACAAATGTAAGCTTCATATCCATCTACTGTTCTTTAGGAAAACTATGACAATACTATTTTTTAAAAATGAGATAAAATTCACATACCTTAAAATTCACCCTTTAAAGTGTACAATTTCAGTGCTTTTTAGTATATTCACAAAGTTATGCAACCATCACCACTAATTCCACTTCAAAAATGATCACCACTAGGCTGGGCATGGTGGCTCACACCTATAATCCTAGCACTCTGGGAGGCCAAGGCAGGAGGATTGCTTAAGGCCAGGAGGTCCAGACCAGCCTAGAACATAGTGAGATCTCATTGCTACAAAAAATTTAAATATTAGCCAGGTGTGGTGGCCTATGCCTGTAGTCTCAGCTTCTCAAGACGTTGAGGCAAGAAGATTGCTTGAACCCAGGGATTCAAGGCTGCAGAAAGTTATGATCCTGCCACTGCACTCTAGCCAGGGCTACAGAGTAAGACCCTGACTCAAAAAAAAATTTTTAAATCGTCATCACTGTTTAATTCCACCCCCAAAAAGAAATCCCTTACCCATTAATGGTCACTCTGAATTCCCCCCCCTTCACCCTTCGCCTAACAACCACATTCTACTTTCTGTCCCTATGAGTTTGTCTACTCTGGACAGTTCATATAAATGGAATTTATATATGATGTAGTCTTTAGTATCTGGTGTGAAGCAAGACATAAAAGTTCCTGAATGGAATTTCCTTTGTGGAAGTCTCCAAGATGGTCCCTTTGAAGTCACTAATACTCACCATTATTCCTAGAGAAATCTGAGTTCACTTTAAATCTCCCTACATGCAACCCTGGAAAGAGAAGAATAAATAATTGTCCTTTAAAAAGGAGGGTCTTTAGATTGTACCAGATCCCCCCGTGGGCCCATTGAAGATTAAATTGGGAAATAATAACTTAGTGCTTCTCAAATTTTAAGGTGCATACAGACCACCAGGATATCTTGTTAAACTGTAGGTTCTGATCCAATAGGTCTGGAATGGGGCCTGAAACTGTGCATTTCTAATAAGCTTCCTGGCTTCTAGACCACCTTAAAGTAGCAAGGGTATAGACCACTGTTCCTTAAACTAGTGTGAGTCTAAGGAAAACCTTTTGCAAATTCCCTACAAAAATATGTAAATGTTTTGCTCTTATGTTCTTTAAAAAATTAATATATTGTAATGCCCATTCTGAATCATTTGATGACCACCTTATAACTGAATACTACACTTGATTTTGTATTTAGCACCAACTACTACTTTAATTTTCTTGGGCTAAAGGGAAAAAAATAGAATACTTCTTATGGAAATGATAGCATTCTGGCTAAGAGAAGGTCAAGCATGCTCACAGAACACTGCAAAAAAGTTTCACAGAAATCCAAATAGAGAAGAATGTTGGGATAATTAAGCCAATTATAAACATGCCAAACAAAAAGGCTCATACCATAGCAATGAGTCCATATCCTCATCTCAAGGGACAATGTAATTTCAGCAAAGCAACAAACATCATTTACCATGTTACATACATAATATTAACTGAATTTTTAAATTTTGTGAATTTAATTTCTAAAATTATTTCAGTTTTATTTATGTAGAAAGCTGTGAGAATAAGGCATTTATACCTAAAGTTTATACATGATTAAGAAACATAATTAAAATAATTTAATAGTTGGGAGCTACCAAGATTTCTTTTTTCTCATTTAAAAGTGGCCTCAAATATTACTGGATATTGGCAGACACTGCTTTTGTCTGTGATTTTTTCCTTGTCTACAGCCTGCCCTTGGCTGTGCTTTGAGAGAGTAGGAACAAGGGTTGTATCTACACTTGGAGGTTGTTGGCAGGCAAGGACTGGCCTTTTTGCACTGTGTAACTGTTGGCAGGACCTCTCCTAACCCTGGGTAGCTGCAGCCAGGAGGGAATAGGCATTTGTTCTAGTCTTTGCAGACACGCCAGGCTGTCCTGGCCTTGGCAATGACCATAGGCAGCAGCAGTGGAGGAGAAGCTTTGACTAGGGCACTGTGGCTGAGTCACCAGCCACCCACGATCTGTAAGTTGAGGGGACCCCTTTGGAAGGAATAAGTAACCTTGGGGTCACTGGGGACATCTAGGGAGGAGAATCTTCTGGGAAAGTTAGACTTGACTTGCTAGGTAGAGCTCAGAGTGGTATGAATTTTAACTTTAAAAAACACATGACTTAAGTGACTTCATTTTGTTGGCTAAGCTGGTGAGGTGGGACATACAAGGTATAAAGGCTTTCAAACAAATGGGAGTCCTAACCTGGTCTCTGACATGAGACCTTGGTTGGATATTTGTCTACCTTAGCTGGACAACTAAGGTGGAATTTCACTTTTTTACCTGTCTGGAATCTTCATGCATAACTTAAAGCAAAGCAAAATAAAACAAGCAAATTTAAAGAATTTAAACCTTTAAAGAAATGTCATACCTATTTTCAATAAGCTCAGAATTCTGTGTCTTGGGCTGCCTTTAGTTACAGGGCTGCTTTAAACAAACTTGAAAAAAACAAAAACATTTAAAAAAAATCAGATAGCATATACCTCTGAGGCATTTGACCCAGATTTGTTGCTCTGTCAATGTGGCTCTCTCTCTCTTCACTTGCCTATTTTTTTCCCTTTTTTGCAGAATAGCTGCAGAAAACCCGTTAGCAATTCTGAGATCAGGAACTATACAGAAAATATAATATTTTAAAAATCGAACACTTCCTCCTACTCCCAATCCCATTCCCCAAAGGTAAGTATTAACAATTTTTGTGTACACTTCCAGAATTTTCTCTGAATATATAAGCTAAATGTGTATCGCTTTTCCCTACACACAAGGGATCGTACTATACATACTATTTCACTTACAAATGTGTATGTGAATCATCCTTTAACAAAACACATAGCTAAGGACTGTACCATAATGTATTTAACCTTCTCTGTTTAGTGGACATTTAGGCTGTGTCTGGTTCTTTGCTGTTATAAAAAAATGTGCTAATGAACAGTTTTACCATAAAGTTTTGTACACATAATGAAGTATTTCTTTAAGATAAATTCCTGGGAAGGAAATTTCTGGGTTGAAGTGTATGGACATGTTTAATTTTGATGAATTTTGACTACCAATTGCACCTACCAACTATGTGTGAGAGTTACTATTAGCCACCTCTCCCTTAATCATTCTGGGTTTTATATTTTCCTGAAACCAAACAACAACAACAAAACCCCATAAACTCTTCTATGTATTTTTTTTCTTTTAGTACTTTTAGTTGCGTTTTTTTCCCCCCCAATGCTTTAATCTTTGATCCATCTGGAAATAATTCTGGTGGTATAAGAGGTTAGGGATAAGTTTACTTTTTTTTTTTAAATGGCTATCCAGTTTTCCTAATATCAACTTACTGGAGAAACACACACAGACTTGCTAAATTGCCTTCATCGAATGCTGAATTCTCAAAGTTTTGTGGGTTTTTTTTTTTTAGATTTGGGAATGTTTTACTTTATTCCATCAAGCTGTCTACTCCATCCCTGTATTTGTTTCCTGTTGCTACTGTAACAAATTACCACAACCTTAGTGGCTTAAAACAACACAAATGTATTGTCTTACAATTCTGGATATTAGAAGTCTAAAATGGGTTGTGCTCCTTGCAGAGGCTCTAGGGGAAACTCTAACTTCTTGCCTTTTCCAGTTTCTAGAAGCCACCTGCAGTCTTGGGCTCACAGCCCCTTCTCCATCTTCAAACCTAGCAACATAGCATCTTCAAATCTCTTTCTTTCTCCTCACCTTCTCTGGCAAGACCCTCTTGCCTCCTTTTTATAAGTATCCTTGTGATTGCATTAGTCTATCCACAGAATCCAGGAAAATATCCCCACCTCAAAATCTTTAACTTGATCACAACTGCAAAAGTCCCTTTTGCCATGCAAGCTCACACTCACAGGTTCTATGGATTAGGACATCTTTGGAGACCATTATTCTGTGTGCTACAGTTTCTAATACCAAGCTCTTTTAACTGTTAGAATTTACAATAAGTTTTAATACCTGAAAAGTTAATTCTTCCTCATAACATCTTTTTGCAAGATTAACATATTTTTAATTATATAAATTTAAAATATGTGAGTTCCAGATTGTGGCTGAAATATTAAATTACATTGACAGGATATGTAGTGTGCCTAGTGTAAGATCTATATAGTATCTGGAAAAAATTATCCATGGATATTTATGAATATAATGTGTATATATAAATATATTCTTTTTTGATATATTTAAGCGATAATTTATTCACACATGTAAACTAATTATCACAATGAGAAAAGATTTATAAAGAAGGGGTTTGGTGGGGTTGATTTTTGTTTTAAGAGAATAAGTGTGCAGTTTCCTTTTTAAATTATTCTCCTAATTAAAAGTATGCTTGCATAACAGTAGAAAATAAACATTCAATATCTATTCACTAACCAACCAAAGAAATAAAATGTTGATGTTACCTCTAAAGTTAAACATACCTGGCAAATCTTATCTAGTTCACAAAAAGACTAGGGAGTTAGGTGAAAAAGCGAAGGCCTTTAAGGATTTTTCAACTTCCAGATGAACAGACAGCAAATGCATCAGTACAAAATGAGTGATAGCAAACACTTGTGCTTTTATATACTAGATACTGTACATAATTTACATACCACAATTCCACATTTAACCAATAAACAAGCTCCATTTAATAGTTTAAAATAAACTATTAGATCACGACTATTCTTGTTTAATGGTTTTAGGCAAATAATTGCAGACACAACAATATAAATATTGATTTCCTGGATCTGACAACTGTTAAAAAGAGTTTTCGGAAATCCATTAGATGCTAATGATAGATCCACAGTTGCTAATTTTAAAGTGCATATCAGGGGATAAATCCTGCAGAAGCCTCAGCCTCTGTAATATCATCATGGGTTAATAGTTTTATAAATTCATAAACATTAAATTAATTTAGAGCAATCTAAAAAAAAAATTCTTCAAGTGGCATCCAGTTTCTTATAGGCTTCTTCAATGAATGTTAATGTGTTCTTAACCTGGGATGAATTATGAAGAACATCCAAATCCTTTAGAAGAGCATTCTGCTTTGGAATTAGCGTCAAAATTTCTTTCTAAAGTGTGGGTGCTTTGAGACTATTCTGAGAAAATTTTGGAAGAGAGAGTACAGCACTACTGTTCACTTGATGCACCTGTTTTGGCATGTTCTCTTCTTCTTCCACCTCACTTGCCAGAATTTCAATTTTGTTCTTTAGGCTCTGTATTTCCAGTCATCAACTCTGTGGTCTTTACCATTTTATGTATTTCTTCCTGCAATAATGCAAGACCTTCTTCATTGACTCTGTGCTGTGCGCTTTCTGTATTCAGTAGACTTGACACATTAGTTAAATCTTTCAGCTTTTCATGAAGAACTTTCAGGGTTTTCCACAGTTGTAGCAATCTTTTCTTCAGGAAGTTGAGATGATGTTGTATTTCTTCTTTTTCTTTAATACTTTTACTTAAATTGTTATTACTACTGATTTCATTATAGTTTGCAAATGCTCTCTGCTACTTTTTTTTTTCCTTTGAAAAAGGTTGCCAGGTTTTTCTCTTGTTAGATGCTATCTTTATCTGTTCTAGATTAGTATGCTTTGTCCTTCAGAAGACACGTGCTTTGGATGATTTTTATTTCTTTTTGCTGTTTTTCTAACCTCTTTCTCTGACAACTCTACTTCCTCATCATCGATTTTTCTTTTTGGGTTTCTTTTTAAATGTTGAGACTCCTTGGAAGCATTTGGTTTACCAGGCATCTTGATCATTGATTCCTCTAGAACTTTTCAGGGAGCCACGCCCACGCTAATTCGCGTCCAAACAATCGAAAGAGGAAGAGACCCGGCTAAATATATTCTTAAGGACACAGATTATGCATATTATAATAAGCCACTTAATCTGTATCTGTCTTCTTAATTTAAACATTAATGCAAATTAGTCCTCATAATTTTCATTCATTTAAAAAATGCGTATTGCTCACTTACTATTGTTAGGCACTGGGAATACAGGTAAGAGGTGGCCCTTATCCTCTAAGCAAGTATTTTTTATTCTTAGGATTATGACTTATCAGTGAGTTATGAAATCAATTTAGTGGATCATGACCAGCATTTTGAAAAAAGAAATGAACTAGAATCCACTAGGAAATATCAGAGTACATTGCACAACATGAAGGTAAGCATTGTACTGTGAAACTTTGTGGTTATGTGTCTGTGTGTTTGTGTATATATGAGTTGCAGTGTGAAATGTCTCTCTTTCTTACTTTGGGTGTGGTAGCCAAAAAAGTTTTAGAGCTTCTAGTCTGATAGGAGAATCAATAAAAACAAACACCACCAATTAGAATGAGAACTGCTTTCGTAGATTAAACTATGAACTCCATGAGGACAGAAACATGGCTATTTCACTCACCATTATTTCATTACAGCCTAAACTAAGGTCTGATATAGAATCATCTCTCTGTTATTCTTGAATGAACCAATGAACGTGGTGGCCTAGAGTGCGAGGGAAAGCAGTGGAAGGAGACCAGCATCAGCACGTCCTGTGCCTTACTGTGGGAACAGGGTTGGAGAGGAAAATGCTCTGACACAGAATTGAAGGCTGGGCAGAGCCTGCGAGAGGGAGCCCGGAGGGACCTTGAGTGACATCTAGTGGATTCTTTGACCAACTGGGAGATACCAGCCTGAGGAGCTCTCCCATTAGGTGAAGTATTAATGAATAATGCTCTTTGCTTTAAAAAAGAGAGAAAGAGAGAGAGGGAGTGAGAGAGAGAAGGGCTCCATCCCGGCACAGTGTACAGAATTTACTTTACTTATAGGGAACTACTGTAGGTTTATTGGTCTGAGCTCTTTGTTAGGTGTTGGCTTTGTCCATAGGAGCTTCATCTTCAGATTGGAAAATCTTGATTAATCTTCGTGACTTTATAGCGTGTTACTCAGCACCTGGTACAGCATTGTCAGGTGTGCTTCAGGTGTATAATAAACACCTGCTTTTGGCTGGATGACTTGTTTTAGTCATTCATTCAGCCTATGGTCATTGATTGGATACCACCCACATTAAGGATTCCCATCCCTGACTGCACATTAGAAACACCAAGGGAGTTTTTAATAAATACAGATGCCCTTGCCCACCCTGATCCCATCTTCATCCTCATTTGTTAGAATATAGCTAAGGCTTCTCTCTATAGATATGGATGTAAAGTTGTTTGTTTTTTTCCAGCTCCCAAGGTGACTACTGTGCACAACATGTCATACAGGATCCGTGTAGAACAGGGATCCCTGCCGTCTAGGTTGGTACTTCTCAAACTGTTTGGGGTAAAAGACCAATCCATCATGGGCCAATATTTTAGTAAAATATAAATAAAAATAAATTACTATAAAATGAAAAGAAAAAGATATACAGTATAATAAAATATAAGCCCCAATTTTTTATTAGACTCAACAGAAATGAATTACTCTGTCAAATTTCTCTAAAAGGTTATAGCTGCTTACTCTCCATTTATGTATTTGTCTCATTGTGGACCAGTAACAAACCATTTGCAGTGTGGCACTTTGAGTCACATCGTGCTAGCCTACATTCTAGATGGAGATGAGGAAAGGAAAAGACAGAGGAGATGCAAAACACGCAAGTAACAGTATCGGCAGGAAACACAGGTTATTCTTGTTGCCTTTAAGAAGGAGGCCTGCTGATCTCTCAGCCAATGCCTCCCACGCAGCAGAGCCCCTTGGGGCTACCAGGACTCAGGGCCCAGTCCTTAGCTTTACAGAGTCCAAACTTTAATCTTATCAGAACACACACGCTAATCAGGCAATCTCTCCCTGTCCCACAATAGAGCATCCCTCTGTAGTGATGGCAGTATTCATGTCCACTCGATGTGTGTGTCATGGACAGTGCTTAATAAGCACAGACAGACTTTGACAGCCTGTCATATTTCTAGGACATTGGCTTCTGTCTGTCACCAAGCTGGCAGGTTCAATTACTGGTTTGAGATACCACTTTCTCTGGTTTCAAATCACTTCTGAGGACATCCCAGGCTAACTTAATGGGACTTGAGTGATCCCCAGGTTTTTATCAGCAATATGTTTGTCAACTATCACCAGCACGGATTTGGTCCACAGACAGCTATTCTATCATAAGCTGATCACTCCCTCTCATTTTTTTAAATGCAGTCTTTTTCTTCTGCGTATAGTGCCCTGCTTTCCTTTTCTTTGCCAAACTTCTGCTTATCTTTTGTATTCCAGCTCGCATGTTGGCTCCTCCCAGAAGCCTGCCTTGTCTCCTGTCACCCAAGGCTCGAATATCTGTGCCCCAGCAAAGCACATAGTCCACGATGCTGCAATGCATCAGTTTCCTCTTTTCTCCCCAGTCGACTTTTAAGCTTTTTAGAACAGTGATCCTGGCTTTTGTTTACTACGGGTGTCCAGAGAAGCTATACACATAGTAGACCCTCAAAAAATATTTGGTGAAATAAACTGATTTTCTAGTTCCAGTTTTGAAGGGTGATGTGATGGCAAGGGCTGGTAGGAGATAAGGCTAGCTTCTGATCTTATGTGGGCTCTGCGGGGGTGGGGGGGTTTCTTGAAAGTCAACCCAAAGAGTATGAGCACTAACTGGTAGGTCTGAAGGTATGTCAGAAGGGGAGTATGATGATGAAGTGAGTGATGTAACAAAAATAAATTTCATGGTATTGAGGAAGGAGAGATTAGATCTGGGCAGAGATTGGACCTGGCAAGCCAGTTAAAGCAGTGAAAGTATCTACCCATAGGGGCATCTCAGAATCGCCAGAGATGGTACACCAATACCCTCCCCACCCCATTCCTATGTGTCAACACACCCTTCCTGGGTCTCATCCCTGGTTAATATCACTGCCCTGGGCCCCTTGGTGCTGAGGGAGGTCTGCCCTATGCCTGATGTGCAGGAGAAGGAAATTCCAAAGTCTGCTGTAATCTTCTAGATGTGAGATACTAGAGACATGATGTGTTATCATCACATATTTAACCATTTAATCATTGAAATAATGATTCCAATTTTATATCTGAACTTTTGCTAGAGGTAAAGCAAAACTTCTAATAGATTGTAAAAAATTGTTATCTTAAAAGCTAGTCATCTAACATTTGCATTAATTTCCAGTGAGGGCTATTAGCTCCCCCCCCCCATTTATTGTATTACAGTAATCTTTTACTGAATGTTTTATAAATTAACAAAATACTCTACTGGCCTAATAATTTTCTTTGGAAAAACTAATGATACTATCTCAACTATCTTGTAGGCATTCATTAAGTTATATAAATGTTTTCTTCTTTAATCTGAATGTCCAGGAATACATTAAAACAAAAACTAAGATTGTGTTTTGCTCTCTTTAGGTTGAACTTTCTCAGAATTAAAAAAAAAACAAAACCTGCCCATAATGAGTAAGACAAATAATCTTTCTTTGACCAAAAGCAGTCAATCAATTACAGTCTTATAATTGCCAATTCAGTTTTTCCATCTCTTGTTTCCAACTTCTTTAGAGTCTTCTACTACCAGTATCTGCTCTAAGGATTATCAAAGTCACACAATTTAGAACACTACATTATATCTGGACATCAGGTTTCAGAGAAAGAGAACGGGGAGGGTATTGAGAGGAAGGGGGAGTGAGAACAAGAGGGAAGAGGAGAGAAAGCATTGGAGGGCAGGGCAAGGCTTAGACCTGAGGTTTAAATTTTTTGAGCATCATCCTTTCTTATTAGTGACGGTCTGACTAATGGGTGTGCAAAAAAGATACTATAGTAAGTAGAAAATTACATGTAAAGGGAATTTTCAATTAGAGAAACTAGAAAGCTCAGGTGAGTCACAAAGATTTAACCCAATAGGAATTTATAGCCTGTTAAAAATCAAATTTAGAATTAATTGAAGGAATTTGGAAATGAGCGAAAAGAAATACAGAATATTTGACAAATCACTGTCAGAAAATATTGCTTTCCTTTATTGCTTTGACTTCTATTAATATTTTGTTTGTTCTTAGATCCGTATTAACCCTGGAAAGGCACTGGTGGTATTGGCCTCTGTCTGATGTGGGGAGTACAGCCCAAAGGAAAGTTCTTAGTCATTTTTTATTAACAATGATTCATTTCTTGGGACTTGAGAAAATGTTCTAAAAGCCAGGTTGATGTGGGGGTAAGCACAAGTGCTCTCACAGGCTAGAATTAACTTCCAGAATCAATACTCAAGATATAAATGGTTTGCACACCATGATTACATCATAGAGTATCCTGTATTTGAGTACTTACTGTTAACAGTGAGTTGTATACTTTCAGATGATTTCTTATTGTTCATTAATGTCCTTTTCATTCAGATTGAAGAACTCTTTTTAGCATTGCTTGTAGGACAGGTCTGGTGTTGATGAAATCCCTCAGCTCTTGTTTGTCTAGGAAAGTCTTTATTTCTCTTTCATGTTTGAAGGATATTTTTGAAGGATATAATATTCTAGGATTAAGGTTTTTTTTTTCCTTTGGCACTTTAAATATATCATACCGTTCTCTCCTGGCTTGTAAGGTTTCCACTGAACAGTCCGCTGCCAGATGTATAAGAGCTGCTTTATATGTCATTATTTTACCTTTTTCTTGCTTCCTTTGGAATCTTTTCTTTATCTGTGGCCTTTGGGAGCTTAATTATTAAATGCCTTGAGGTAGTCTTGTTTGGGTTAAATCTGGTTGGTGTTCTATGACTTTCTTGTACCTGAATATTGATATCTTTCTCTAGGTTTAGAAAGTTCTCTGTTATTATTTCTTTGAATAAAGCTTCTAGTCCAGTCTCTCTCTTTACTTCTTCTTTAATGCCAAAAACTCTTAGATTTGCCCTTTTGAGGCTATTTTCTAGATCTTGTAGGCATGCTTCATTGTTTTTTATTCTTTTTTTTTCTTTTTTCTCTTCTGACTATTATTTTCAAATAGCCTGTTCACGAGCAAGTTCACGAATTCTTTCTTCTGCTTGGTCAATTCTGCTGTTGAAAGACTCTGATGTATGTCTAAGTTTGCCAGTTGAATTGTTAAGCTCCAGAATTTTTAAAATTATTTCAATCTTTTCATTAAATTTCTCTGATAGGCTTATGAATTCCTTCTCTGTGTTGTCTTGAAGTTCATTGAGCTTCTTCAGGACAGCTATTTTGAATTCTTTGTCTGAAACATCACATATCTTCATTGCTCCATGTTTGGTCACTGGTACCTTTTTTAGTTCATTTGGTGAGAGCATGTCTTCCTGGGTGTTCTTAATGCTTATGGTTGTTCATGAATGTCTAAACATTGAAGAGTTAGGTATTTATTTTAATCTTTGCAGTCTGGACTTGTTTGAACCTATTCTTCTTGAGAAGTCTTTCCAGGTATTTGAAGGGAATTGAGTGTTGTGATCTAAGTCTTTGGTCACTGCAGCCATGTCAGCACTGGACATGTCAGCACTGGAGGTGTCCCAAGCTCAGTAATGCTGTGACCCTTGCAGACTTCTGGTAGTACCACTTTGGTGGGCTTGGGTAAGATACAGGAGAATTCCTTGGACTACCAGGCAAAATCTCTTACTCTGTTCCCTCACTCTCTGTGCTGGGCTGCTGGAGTTGGGGGAGGAGTGATGTGGACACTCCCTCATGGCCACCAGCTCTAGGTCACACCTGGAGCCAGCCCAGTCTTCCCCAAAGCCAGTGGTGACTGTTGCCTGGCTACCTCTGATGTTTTTTGTTTTTTGTGTTTTTTTTTTGAGAGAGAGTCTCACTTTGTTGCCTGGGCTACAGTGCTATGGCGTCAGCCTAGCTCACAGCAACCTCAACCTCCTGGGCTCAAGCAATCCTGCTGCCTCAGCCTCCCGATTAGCTGGGACTACAGGTATATACCACCATGCCTGGCTAATTTTTTCTATATATTTTTAGTTGGCCAATTCATTTCTTTCTATTTTTAGTAGAGACGGGGGTCTCACTCTTGCTCAGGCTGGTTTTGAACTCCTGACCTTGAGCAATTCGCCTGCCTCGACCTCCCAGAGTGCTAGGATTACAGGCCTACCTCTGAAGTTGATTCAAAGCCCAAGGGCTCTTTAGTCAGCAGGTGGTGAATCCTGCCAGGACTGGGTCCTTTCCTTCAGGGCAGCACGTTTCTTCTGGCCCAGGGTGGGTCCAGATATGTTGTCCAGGAACTAAGGCCTGGGCTTAGGGTCTTCTGGAGTCTGCTTGGTACTTTATTTTACTGTGGCTGAGCTAGTACTCAAGTTGCAAAACAAAGTCCTCTGAACTTTTCCCTTTCCTTTCCCCAAGTGGAAGAAGACTCTCTGAGCCGCACTGCCTGTAGCTGGAGGTGGGCCCAGGCTGCTTTTTGTCAGCTGGTTGTGGGGCTAGCTGAAGCTTGGATTTTAGGGCAAAGGATTTCTCTCTGGGCTGGGCTGGTCTAAATGCTCCTTCTGTGTTCCCCTGTGCCAAGGCAGCCCTGAGTTCCAATGCAAAGTCCCACAATCACTTCACTCTCCCTCCCCAGCCACACAGATTCTGTCTCCACTCAGCGTGCTGGTGTGGCACTGCTGGGGGAGGAGGGACAGGTGTCATAGCTAATGCAAGATTGTCTCTTCTCCCTTCTCCAGTGCCTCTTTCCTTGATATAATATTAAAACCAGGTGGTATGATTGCTTACCTGATTTTCATTCTTCTGAAGGTGCTCACTTGCATGGATAGCTGTTGAATTTGTTGTTCATGCCGAGGGACAATTGCTGGAGGTTTCTATTTGGCCATCTTGCTCCACTCCCTCCAAGATATTCTTGATTTAAGTATGCTATGGTAGCAAGTTGAGAATTTTTATAGGTTTGTTTTGAGCTTGCAACATTTGGAATTATCATATCTATCATATCTATTGTAATGTTTCTATATATGAATGTTTTATATGCTTAGCTAATAAGGAAGGGATGGAAAGATTTTATAGAATCACAGATATAGTCTTAATGGGGAAAAGAATAGGAAAAAACATCAACCAAAAGAGGAGAGAATTGGAATTTTATCTTCATTTGGTTTATAGGGCAGAGGGAGCATGTGTCACTATCAAGTGTGATAACTATAAAGCATGTCTTTTTTGTTATTGTTGTTATAAGCAAAGCAGAATATGCACATTTAAATTATTACAGTCCTCTAACTTAGTCTTTGGCAAAGTTATATGTATTTTCAACAACTTGACTCTTTCTCAAATGCTATAACCCCCCATCTTATTTAATCTCTACCACCCAGGTTCCTATAGGGGAGGGTGCTGATACCTGTCCCTTGTAGATTCTCTGCCACCCCAGCCCATATTATGAACCAATTCAGGTTGAAGCAGAAGGTAAACTAGGACCTCTAACCCCACCAGCATTTGGCTTAGTTAAGTGCCTTCTCTGTACCAGGTACCATGCCAGGGCCTGGGTTTGCAGAGATGAATATTACACAATTCTTGTTCTAAAGGAGTCTGTAGACCAGAGAAGGGGTGATATAAAAGCCTGTGCACCTATTCTGCCTCTCTTTACAAGAGGTAAAACTTCCAAGTATTTGTGGAATTGAGACCTAGTAGGGGGAGACCTGTCTATACTGAAAAAGCACACACTCCAGTTCCTGTGATACACCTTTAAAGTTGTCCTTAAACACCTCTCATTGTTGACAGATTGGCTAAAATCCAACCCATGTAGCACAAGGTAGATGCTGTGAGTGTGAAGTACTTCACTCCAGCTAAAAGTCAAGTTTACCCAAATGCACAGCCATAGTGTCCCTATTATGAAGCTCCTACAAAATAAAAGCAATGTGAATGGCAATTTTGGAAAGAGCAAAAATGTCAGTCTCTTTGAAGCAATTTCCAAACTCCTTATTTTACAGAATGATGGATTTAATTTTGATCTGAATTATTTTGGTCTCAGTGATATCAAAGCACTTAGTTCCGGGCTGGGCTCAGTTGCTCACACTTGTAATCCTAGCACTCTGGGAGGCCAAAGCGGGAGGATTGCTTGAGCTCAGTAGTTTGAGACAAGCCTGAGCAAGTGCAAGACTCTGTCTCTACTAAAAATAGAAATAAAGTGCTGGACAACTAAAAATATATATAGAAAAAATTAGCCTGGCATGGTGGCGCATGCCTGTAGTCCCAGCTACTTGGGAGGCTGAGGCAGGAGGATCGCTTGAGTCCAGGAGTTTGAGGTTGCTGTGAGCTAGGCTAATGTCATGGCACTCTAACCTGGGCAACAGAGTGAGACTCTGTTTCAAAAACAAACAAACAAAAAAACCCAAAAAACCCCCACTTAGTTCCTAGATCAGTTCAGTGAAGAAAAAGCACCTTAAAAGTATCAAGAGGTTTTTTGTTTGTTTGTGGTAGAGGACATCCTATTGGCTTTATACTAACATTCTAGAAATTA